CCTTCTAATATTCCCTTATCAAATAAGATGAATCAAATAAAAGCTAAATCAAATATCAATCCTAATCCAAACGCAGCCTTACAGTCATTAAATTTTCCTCGAGATTTTTATATAATTCAATTCTTGGCTATATTTGGAAGCCATGAGTTGAAATATTAATAGACAAATACTATTGACATTATAATTGTAGGTTATGTTGGTAATAAGGAGGCAACATCCGTAACATTACTGGCAGATGGGCGGTTGAGAACGGGTGATCTTTGTTATATTGACAATGAAGGGTTTCTTTTTATTGTTGATAGGTTGAAGGAACTAATCAAATACAGGGGTTACCAAGTATATCTCTCTCTTAATTCATTTATTTATTCCAGTTGTTAATTAAAACTGGATACAAGACATTTTTCAAGTGCTAAATTATTGTGCAGGTTCCTCCAGCTGAACTAGAACAACTGCTTCAATCCCACCCTGAGATAGTAGATGCTGCAGTTGTACCGTAAGCCTCGTATTACTTGTTCGCGTATATCACGCCTTTTTAATTGGAAAATGAATATTTTTTTTACAATTTTATATTTTATATCAATCATCATAAAAAAATAATAAAATCTATCATTTTTCATCGTAAGTATTTATGTCACGTGATATAAAATAGTGACAAAAAATTTGAGTGATATATAACATTTTTCTATTTTAGCAGGTGAGAGGGTGGTCATTTAAATCCCCTTAGGAAGAAAAAAAAAAAAACAATTTGCGCTGAGCTTAATAGGAAACAAAATGATTGATCGTTGAAATTTGCACTGAGCTTCAAAATGGGTCTCCACTTTTGATAGTTTAGTCAAGACAATCTCAAGTGTTTTGACATGAGTATTGAGTCTCTACACTTGTCATTACCTGTTTGAAATAAGAATATAAAGCCATTGCAGAATTCAATACAATACAAAGGACTTGTTTGTTGCTGTTTTTGCATAGTTTCTAAATTTTGGAAGTTGAATCATAAAATTCCACACAGATACCCTGACGAAGAAGTTGGTCAAGTACCCATGGCTTTTGTGGTAAGGCATCCCCAAAGCAACCTCAATGAAGCACAGGTCATGGATTTTGTTGCTAAACAGGTGCCTCTCTCTCTCTCTCTCTCTCTCTCTCTCTCTCCCCTCCATATTTGTTCTATGAGCAATGTTATATATACAAACAAAAAAATATATATTAAAAAAAAAACTTTTACAAAATGATATGATGCCACAGTGAACCTACCACTTTAAACTTATTAATTATAAAAATACTAGAGTCATATCATTCTAGTGATAAATTCCAATAAAAAAATATATATTTCTTTTTCCACTTTTTAACATCAGCAATAAGTGATTATTGAATACAGACTTTTAAAATTAAGAGAATCAAACTTTTCATGAAATTCAAACTTATAACTTACGTTTCATGAAGCACACTTGTCACGATTCAATAAACAACTTGACTAACCCCTTATGCATCATTTTATCAGCTACTGATTCACAAAGCCAAAGATTGATCTTAAAATGTATGCATATTTGGTTCAACATTTGACTAATCTGATTGATAAATTGTCAAAATGGCATACATTAGGTCTGATACTCTTTTCTTCATAATAATTGCAGGTTGCACCCTACAAGAAAATTAGGCGTGTAGCATTTGTTAATTCAATACCCAAAAGCCCAGCTGGAAAAATACTGAGAAAAGAGCTGAGAAAAATTGCTATCCCGCCGACTTTTTCTAAGTTGTGATCTTCAACTTTTGTTTGTGTTTGTATTTTTTTTAAAAAAACATTTTAAATCTAAAATGTACACAAAATATTTAGATCATTGACTCGATAAATAATACTTGATGCATGCAAGTACATCATGTTACGCATGTATGTAGCCGATCTCTTTTTGATTGATATATAAACAAAATGGCAAATTATAGAAATGGTCCTTATAGTTTACCCGTGGTTTCATTTTGGTTTCTGTACTTTTGAATGTATCAATTTTGCCCCTGCAATTTTGTTTTTGGCTTGAAATGGTCCAATAATTAATAGTCGTTAGATTTTTTGACAGAAATTTCACACGTGCAAGGCATGCACGGGACTTGCACAGCCTCTATGTTTCATTATGTTTATCAGTGAACAATTTTGAGTTTCTTGACTATTTTTGCAACAATTCAATTTGTTCTCTAATATCATCACTCAAATTTAACTCATTTAATAGATGTTTTATTTAATTTCATTATTTAATTATTTTTTTTATTGATATTTTATTTATTTAATTCTTAAAAATAAATTTATTTAATTGTTTAAAAAATAAAATAAAATAAATTTTTATTTAATCTAGCTAAAAATAATTAAAATATTAAAAGTATGTTTAATATTGCTATTATTTAGTAAACAATTAAAAAATAGTAAAATAGTTTTTTTGCACATTTATCCTTATCCAGTTCTTCCGACCAAATATTAGATTTACTAAAAATAGTCATTTCTAGACATCTAATCCCATGAGAAAACAAACACGGGATGCACATCTAATCCAACCAAATAATCCGGAGGATTCACAGTCCCAAGATTCAAGATTCTAATCCCCTCTTTTCTAATTGTTTACTAAGTAATAGCATAACGGTAAAATAGACATTTCTCACATTGGTCCCATAGGATATCAATCCTTTGGAAATAATCCCACCCCCCCCTAAGATTGTTTAGTCCCTCATATGAGGGATATGGAGTCAGGCCGGATTCCATATCCTCCATATTCGGCGAACGAAATTATTAATAAAAAATAATTTATTATTAAAATAGGCATTTATAAATATATTAATAAAAAATATAGACATTTATAAATTATATTTTTAGTGTTGCTAATTTAAAATTATATATTAATAAAAAAAACATCCCCACATGAGCAGAAGGGAGCGATTGTTGAGTTTTTGCTCCATGTGTAAATGGAAGCCATGGAGTCAAGGAAACACGGCTACCTACCTTGCCAACCGAAAAGCTGTAAAGATAGATGACCACCAAAAGTGAAGGAACAGCTGGCCATGTACAAGGCCAACCAAGCTCTCTACCATTTGTGAGGCAGAGAGACCGTCTCTCTCGAAGTGAGAGAGTGAGACAGGTGTGTAGGTGAGTGAGGATGGTGTGAGCTCCGTCTATATTGTAATCATTCTGTAATCTCTCCATTGTTATAGTGATAACCGGTTACTCTCCCATGGACGTAAGTATTGAGGCCGAACCACGTTAAATATGGTGTCTCCTTGGGTGTGTGTGTTTTTCTATTTGGTATGATTTCTAGAAGGTCTTGGGCGTGATCCTCGATCCCCAACAACATGCACTGTACAAAATAACAGCCCACTTTTTACATATTTCATTGCATTGTGTCTCATATGCACTGCATAAAAAACTTCCTAATTCTGTACGTATTTCAATTAATCTCGTCGTGTCGTCATCACTCTACCACTACTAACAAAGGCACAATTCACTACATTGTGTCTCGTAGTAAAAAAAAAAAAAAAACCTAGTAAAAAACATAATTAGCATTGGACCAATTGGTTGTGTTTTTCTGGGGAGAGAAAGCAATTGACTGAGCAAAAGTGTTGTCAAAAACCGTTTTGAAACAATTTTGTTATCAGTCCACTTTTTTTGTAGTAGTACTTCCAAAACAAACAAACAAAAAAAGATTTGCAGGAAAATATAAACAAACAATTTAAATACACAATTGTGACAAACATTTCATCATGTTCATATCCAAAATTTTGAAAATAAAAGCAGAAGACAATCAAAACAGTACAAATTATTTGTATCTTTTTGTCATTTTTCTCTTATGTTTTCTTTTTTCACAAGTCGATATAGGGCTCTTGCACAGATATACACGTATGGGCACCAGATTCACCATTCATCTGAGCTCACCCTCTATCTTCTGCACTTGAGCATGTGTTGGAACTATTATAGTTACATATACTTGGGGTTGTTTTTGATTTAACAAATTCCTTGATGAATTCACTGTTTTGTCATATAAGAGCTTTGTTGGTTGTCCTTGAGGGTTTATGAGATCATACTAGGTATGCTTCTGTAAGTGTAGAAACTGATCTGAAATGACTTATATCTTATTCAAGTTTTCTGGCCCCTAGGTGTATTCGGATTTAACAACTCTGTTACTTTTTCCAAATTGCTAGGTGTTGCCTTGGTTCTCTGCCAGTCTGATCCTGTTCTCAATGATGGGCAAAGTGGAAGCGAACCATCATCAAGAGAAGCTGTCCTCAAAGGAGTTCGGCAGAGGCTCATAGAGAAGGTTGTTAGAGATCATGAAGACGATGATGATGATAGATCTTCTAGTGATTAGGGTCCTAAGTCTTTATTTCTATCTCATCCTTGTTCTTTTCATTTTGTTTTCTCTTTTAGTGGAAAAAGTATAGATTTTGTGTTTTCTAGTAGTAGAGATGCTGTCTGTAGACTGTATTGCTGCTTCTGCATCTTTATTTGTTTTTTAACATATTAAATTAAGATATTGCTTTATGTGGTTATGAACCCCGAACTTGATGGGGCAAAGGGTTGGAGTTTTAATGTATTGTTACTCAAACTGCTTGCCAAGTTTTCATTTCAGATCCATTAGTTTTGTTCATGTGATGTTGTTCAGCTTCTTGTATACTTTCTTATTGGATTGTCACAGTGACACTGAACCCTAGTAGCATGCTGTGTACAAGCAAGGCATTGCATCTTTCAAATTAAGTCCTAAGTTGTACATGTTTATAGTCTTTGTTTTTTTTAGGTAGGGAAAAAAATGATCTAGTTCAAGATTTTTTTTCCTCCAATTTTCCATTTTTCTTTCTTTTTGCTTTACAAATTCAAGATTCGAACATGGCACAAAAATAAGAAGATAGCATGTTAGAGAGAGAAAAAAACCTTCTTGGCAATACTTTTTTCTCAATTCATGTCAATTTTTATTTTCAGAAAAATCACCATTTTAAGGTATAGATATTTCATAATCTTCTAATAATTTGATGGCAATGAAAAGTTCTCCCCTTCAAATTATTTAAAATTTGATCATACTATGTCAAAAGTTGAAAGCAATGTAAACTAACTTAGGACATAGCTGTCTACATTCATGGCATCATGGCAACTCGGCCCAATTTGACTCGCTACAAAGGCAGAAGATTAAAAACTAAGCAAAATGTAGATAACATGAGAAAATTTCCAAGGCTAGGCTAGACTGACTTCCACGGCAATGTAACCCTTCTGAGTTAAAGGACAGATAAGCAAGCTTCAGCTCTCAAATCTATACTCTTCATGCATTTATTTCTAATGTATCCTCTTCCTTCTTTTTGCCTTTTCTAGTGTCTGCACCACCCTGTTTTTGTAGCTCAGCCTTCTTCTGAGCTCAAATCATGGCTCGTCTCGCACGTGGATTCATTTCCCGTACTTGTCAAGGAGGCATCACATATGGTTCAATAGGCCTGTCACTGAATGGGTGCTCATTGCCAGCAAATATTCTCAGCTTTCGATCTCTATCCTGCATAATGATATAAAAACTTCCAATTAGGTCTGTTTCAGTAGCCTCCTCCCCTTGACGTTCAACAAATCTTAATTTGCAGTAACCAATTGCAAAGTACCTTCACTATGCTTCACTACATATCCAGCATCCTCCCAAGATCACTAAAGTTTTAGTGTAGTCTACTATATTGTGAACATTTTTTCTATAATGAGTTGGAAATGCATGAGATCATAATTCCTCTTATAACGCTTTTAGAAGTGAATAAAACAACAATAAATAAACAGACAAAATACGTTCTTTTTTGGCATCAAACCAATCATCACATCAAAGTGCCGCTAGTTATATACTAATTCAAATGTGTCACACATTTCAAGTTTGCCATACAGAATATTAATAGTAAATCACAAATTATCATTTTCCTTTTTCTTTTATTTTGGGCTTGATAAAACAGTCCACTCAGGTCCTAGGTGAAGAATTTGTACAATAGGACTAAACCAGAGGTGGAATCAGAATTCCAAGAAGTTGATAGGAAGAGATATTATTTGTTGAGGAGACAGATTAGGGCAGAGACTGAGGCTTGGGAGAAAATGGTGGAGTATAGGGAGTTGGAGAGAGAGATGTGTGAGAAAAAATTGGGCCCCAATTTGCCTTATGTGAAGAAGTTGTTTTTTGGTTGGTTTGTGCCTTTGAGGGAGCCAATTGCTAAGGAACAGAGTACGCAGCGAACAAAGAAGCAAAAGGCATATCAATTCTTTGCCGGCTGATAAGATTGGCAATTATTGTGATGCATAAGATGATGGCTTTATTGATGACTGTGCAAGAGGACATGTCTGTTCGGGTTGTTCAAGCTGCAGTTCAGATTGGCGTGGCAATTGAGCAGGAGGTGAGTCTTGAATTGTTCTGTATATGAATATATGCTAAGCATATTCAAATTTGCAATTTCTGTATTGATATGTGGTACTGGAATCCCTATATGAGTAGTCATTGAATTGAAACTTGAATCTATAGAGACAATGGGCAATAATTATGTAGAAAGTTTATTGGATTCAGTTGTGTAGAATAGTGTTGTCAATTATGGCTATCTTGTTGTGACTTGTTGGGTTAAAGTGATTGGTTGGTTAACTTGAAGCATGAAAAAATGAATAGGAGACAACAAGTTGATGCAGAAATATGAATTACTAGGTGTACGGTATCTTTTTTATATGGTGCTACATTTGAATTAATGCTTTGGAGAAATATAAGGAAAAAATAAATATATCAGACCTATAGCTTTTACCTCATATACTTTCTGCATTTGTTTCACAGCAACTTTCTTAACAGCATCTTGTTGCTGCCTCGATCCATGAGTTCACATGAGATAAGAAGGTAAGAAAAAGTACCCGCCTTTGTCATACCTGAAAGAAATCGTATAAGACACGTCAAATATAAGTGGAAATTTTAGCTGAGAACAACCCTCCATTTCTTTGATTATATCTGAACATACTGGAGTATCAATTTTCTTTTTCTTTTCTTTTTTTTTTTTCATTAGCCTTTTGAATAGGTCAAGATAGGGGCACATCACAAAGCATGATGACTTGAACTTTGTTTCCGACTAACACAAACCCAAAGCCAACCACCTTAAGGGCCAGGTGAACAACATCATCGCATGTTGAGTGAATAACATACCCTTTCCATTTTTTTGGAGGCACCAACATTGGCACATAAGGAATGATCATATGCTTAACCTGCATAAAGAGAGATGTTCGAAGGATTAGACATGAAGGACAAATCAAAACAAAAACAAGTACTCAATTTTTTTTATTGCATATTTGGAGTTTATAATCAGGAAAAAAAAAATTGTATTACTTTCACAAATAACATAATTAGTGGGTTCATAGCAATCGTCTAAGAAGTACGAACACAGACACACAGTGGTTTCAAACAAATGGGGACACAGTCATGGCAAGGACACAGCAATAAAATCTTTTTCATATTTGCTATGTAGATTTTTATTACATCCACAAAGTATCAAAAAATATATATATATATATATCACTTTTAAATTAACACTTGTCGTTTGTGTCCATTTTATGGATGATTGTTAAATATTTAAATCTAAGCAAAAGAGTAATAAACATTCAACATTCAAAATCCAACATCCAGCAAAAGCACTAAAGAAAAGAGGGAAAAAACCTAGTGGGCATGTCCCCAGAGTGTCCTTTTTATTTCTCCAGAAAACATATTAATTAAATAAATGTGTCCCCACCGTGTCCTTGTGTCTTGGTCGTTTCTGACACCCCTACGGCACTTGTTTTGAAGTGCCGGCACTTCATAGGCAGTTGTAAACACAAGTTCAAAATATTCCATTGCTTAAAAATACTTTAATTGTGAAAGATTAAATATCCAATAAAGAACAAATGGAAGGAAGTATACTTCAGTCCACAGGACAATATATCTTATTCTGACACATCATTTATAAAAAGCACAAAAGTATTGGCATTGAATTAGTATTCATGCATACATTCTCATCCAATTAAATAAGATTTATATTTCCTAGGTGGGATAAACCGCAAATAAATATTATGCAAACCAAATGAGCAAAAAAGAAGAGATATTGACTCACAGTTCTATCAAGGCCTGCAAGGACTAGGGGATCACATTCTATAACTCCATACCTCTTAACAACTTTCTGCCTACAAGGAGCAAACAACAAATCAGACTTACAAAGTTAGAAAGACAGAAATAAAGCAGCGGTGAACCGCCTCCATTGTGCTATGTATGCATATAACCATAATAACTTAACACAAACAATTCAATTTGTTGGCCACATTTTTTTTAATAAGAATTTTCTGACCACATTTTAAATACAGCATTGACCCAAACAAATGAAATGTGGAACTTAAGCATCAGTCATCAAACAAAATTCATCTGCTTAGGCAATATCCCCACCAAGAATGGGCCTAATGATCTGTCTAAATATTAGCATATCACGGACCATGAATTAGTCAGATAAGGTCCAGTGCTTTGAAGATGAATTACTGATGCAAAGAATTACATGCTCACCCAGGATCGTTTGAAATTCTGAATAAGTGCCTAAATGCAGGTCGAATATCAGGTGGACTATCTGCTAACCGGTTGACTGGAGGCTGTACATAAGTTGTTTCAGTTAATAATTCTATCAGACGACATCCTAGCTGTATTACATTAGAAAAAGAAAATAATTAGTAACTATAGAACATAAAGAGATATATATATATACCCATCACTTATTCATTTCAGAAGGAATAAATATTGATGGCCACAAACCTTAGCCTGTGTGTCACGACCCCAAGGCTTAATTTCTTCATCTTTCACCAGCTTTTGCACCTCAAGTATCTTTCTTCTTCTGATCAAACTTTTTACACGTTTCCTTCGTATCTCAACATCCTTACGAAAGCTTTCTTCAGTTGGAGCTACAATCTTCTTTCTCTGGTACATCTTAGTTTTCTCCAAGAAACTATGAATTCTAACCTGTACTAATTGCAAAAATAATAAGATTATCAATAATTTTATATTTATCCCAAATAAGAGATAATGGATAAAAGAAAATTTAATTAGACAATCTTTTTTCCTGATGGCTGATATCGATACTTCAAATAATAATCGAAGTGAGATTAAAGGGCTCTATTCATTTCTCGAATTAGATGATGCATGCATATCGTTATGCCCAACTTAATCAATTCACTTAGTCTCATTATTTGCCAATCCTCTAATAAGCTGATTTGCTTATTCAAAACGGCTTGCATTAGTTACAAGTTACAACTTATGTGTAAGCTCCCAATGAATGTCAATTAAAATGGAGATCGATGGTTAATGCAATACCTTCCAATGCAATTCAAATTTGATTTGAAATTTGATGAAACCTTTAACCAAATCTCTCCAAACTAAAAGTCTGAAGTAAGAAATACAGATTTATCTAATGCTTGCATACAAAAATAGACTTAATGAACAATGAAGCCACTTGTGTTCCTAATGAGATTAATCAAAATACATAACACTGACTGGACATAAATTCATTAAAAATGATTGAGATTACTTATCGACACTACAGATGAGGAAAGGCTAAAAGGATTTTATTTGGGGTACGCCAATAGATCTGATTGTGACAAATGACAGAGCCAGATATAGTAAGAAAACAAACTTATGAAATCAAAATTAATCTTAGATGTGTCAACTGTAGCAGTATAATTGGAAATATCTCAGTTTGCTAGTGGACCCACAATCACTTCCCATTGCTTCTTATCTTCTTTAAGGCTTCAGTCCTTATAAAAGCAGGACATAATCTGTAAAAACCCAATCCCAAATATGATTGTAACTGACTTATTACTAGACATATCGTATACAGAAACACACATGTAGGTATACAAGCTCAAGATTCTAATTCCTTATTCTCTTTGCCTAGAAAACCGTAACAAATTAAGAAAATCCTTCCACACTGTACACTACATGCTAATGCGGTGTAGTGGGAGTAGCCTTATACAATGGTATAACTGAAGTGAACATCAAGCTACTTATAGATAAGAGTCTGATTTTCTATCAACATTTAGAAATCAATTATACATATCTACTAAAATGCATTTATATTTTTCAATTTTTCTTATGGTCAAATTAATCATCTAAAACATTTCTACGTGCATCCTATAATAGTTGAACTATTGATGCATTATGTCCCTAGTTTCTTCGATCTTCTCCTGTAAAAATTCCATTGTTTTTAGCATTAATATATTTTAGTCAATGCTTTTCTTCATTAGGAAAATTAGAAAAACTGTTTGGATCACTCTGGATAGCTTTAATTTAGTATTTTGGTCCAAAAATGTAATATATTTTTGTGTATTGGGTATTTCTGGCTTCATGTACCTAAACGCTCGTTGTTGACTATAGAGGTTTTGGTTCCACTAAGAAGCCCCTAGTCCTATGGAATAGTGTGATTTGTGTTGTGCTTTCAGTTAGAACAGAAAGAAATACAAGATTTTTAATGATAAGTTTAAATAAGTTGCAGACCTATAGGGGGAGATTTTTTACTTGTCTCCTTCTTGGGTTTCAATATCAATATCTTTAAAAGAATGCCTTTGTTTTTTTATTTCTAGAGATTGGAAATTGTCTGTTATTTGTAGTTGTGATTAATTTTTCTCTTCCTTTTCTTATTTTTTGATGCCTTAGCGTACTTTGTACTTTCTTTATTCTCTGACTTTAATAATAAGTCAGCCACGTGGCCCGAGCCAAGCAAATAAGGACCAAATATCAAAGTCTGTGATAATCACAATAGATCACTCAAAAAATGTAATGCAAAAATGAATTACTACAAATGCAATTTCAAATAATCAAATAATATATTTCCCTGTAGTTCTATAAATTATGAACACATGATGCTATTCTATAAAGGCAGCTTGAGAGGTCAAGAAAGTAACAAACAAAATCCAATTAGTTGAAAGAAAAACTAGATCCGAAATTTCAAATGGATTTAATCAGCTCTTGTAACAGGGAAAGGAAAGAGGTTGCAATAGCACTTACATCACGCAATTTGTTTCTTGGAAGCATGCGTAGGACAGCTTTGCGAATAACTTCTGTAGGATCCTTTGCCAGCTGATCTTTTAAACTTCTTTCCTTGAGGTGGCCAATGTACCTATGAGCAAAAATAGTTCATTTTTAAGATAGAAATTCTACACAAAAAATACATAAAGTTGGGACATTTGGTTAACTACATAAATGATGTCATACTATGACAGTCATCTACTAATGTTTTTTCAGCATTTGACTAGTTCGTGTTTTAAATCAATCTATATATTAGAACTTGCTAAGAGAAAGCCATAGCAGATTTCCACAGCACCAAAATACAGTCTTATGATTCTTAACACATTTTTATTATAAATTTGAATGGGGTAAGAAAACCAAACAGAAATATTTCATTTTCATGCAATAAGAAGTCAGCACTAGAAAATTGGTTACTTGCCCAGTATGCCAGCGATAAAACTTGTCCGTAAGTTTCCTTCCTGTGACACAAATATCCTTCACATTGAGCACAATGCACATATCCCCATCATCACGATTAGGTGCATATGTTGGTTTATCCTTGCCTTGAATCACAGTAGATATTTGAGATGCTAACCTCCCAAGGACCTATATGACAAGTGACATTTATTATTCAATCACGACTTAAAAGAAAATAAAGTTGGTAGCAAACATCTGTGCTTTCCACATAGACGGGACAGTTTGTATCTCATATTTCCATCACCAAGTTTTTTGTCAAAACACTTGAATGATTCAACCCATCCTTCAAAATCTTTCCCTTGTAATTCGTTAAAATCTACAACAATCCTCTATTCTCAAATAATCATGTCTTCTATCCCAATTCACTTACAACCATTGGATCATATGAAAATTTTAAAATGTAAAAATCTCAAGACATATCGAGTGATTGTGAATGAATTGAAATAGGGAATAGAATTATTTGAGCACAGAGGATCCTTGCACCGTTAAAACACTATGCCCTGAGTGGGATGGTTATGAACCAAGAACTGGTCGTAAACGGGGACGAATAATTGTGGGCCTATAGCCCACTTATCAGGATCGTAAACGGATCGAATAATTATAGGCCTTTGGCCCACTTATCTGCAAGCCCGTAATTCGTTATCACACACTGAACTTCATCGAAGCAGATCGAGAGAGAGAGAGGGTTGATCGGAGATTCAAAAATGGCGAACTATCACTTCGTGTACAAGGACGTGGAAGGAGCTTCGACTCAATGGGACGATATTCAGAGAAAATTGGGAAACCTCCCTCCGAAGCCCCCTGCATTCAAGCCCCCATCTTTCACGCCCGCCGAGGACGAAGACTCTAAACACAAAGACAAAGCCTGGATTGATGATAGGACCGAAGAACAACTCGAAGATCTCGAGGACAATCCCGATCTCGACAACGATCGCTTCCTTCAGGAGTACAGGTATCATTTTTCATCTTCTAATTCTCCTAGTTATGCGCTTGGTTCCCAAGAATCCGAAGGAAACCCAATTAAAAAACCCAGCTGTTTTCACTCATGCAGTTTATTGGCTCAGTTAAATTGAGTTTCTTTTTGCTGCAATATGTATATTTGTTTTATACTTGCAATATGCAGATTGACTAAGGAGCATATGCAGGTGAGTTCAATATTGCTTTGTCCTTTTATTTATCAAAAATATATATATTGCTTTGTCCTTTTTATTCATTTTCTCTGCAATTGCTACTAGCATCAAGCCACTTTTTTGCTAGGCTGTGTGCAAGGTGGTGACCAAATCTTCTGAAGATGTCAAGCAGAGTATAAGAAGAGCTCGCCAGAAGGTATAGCTGCAAAAAAAAAAAAAGTTCTTTTTCTCCATTTGAACTATTTTCTGTTGCAAAGTGTTATTGTTCCTTGGGTAGAAAACCAAATAAGAGGAGAAGATTACAAAGAATGAAACCACTAAAGGCATTTTTTGCTTTTGGATGTCACAGATTATTGACATGCTCTGAGTGCCATTTTGGTTAATATGGTGGCTTAGTGGAAGAATCATGATTTCTCATGCATATTTGGTGATTTATCAATATATTTGGCTTAGTTTTACTGGAAAACTAGTGCATATTGCTGGTCTTAATTTGGAGCAGATATTTGTTTTTAATCTCTGTTATTTTTTATGATTAACATTAACACCCTATCAACAAACTAAACTGCTAAAAACTTTTACAAGCGCATACTACACACAGAAGAAGCTGCAACAATGGTTACAAATTTTATGTTATTTGCTTTATGAAATACTGTAGCATTGTTTAATAGTCTAGGCAAACTCATTTTCCTTGTACAGGCATTGGATATGATGAAGAAAGCAGGTTCAAGTTTCCCAAAAGATGATGCCAAAAGATTGGAGAAAGAAGTGAGTTAAATAGTGGATAACTACTGAAGAAACACTTGACGGTTTTTTAAGGATTGTGCTCATACCTGATGCTTGTTCATTTCCCTAGGTTGATGAATTGACTAAGAAGTTTATCAAGTCGGCAGAGGATATGTGCAAGGCGAAGGAAAAGGAGATTGCTGCAGGCTGAGTGGTGGCTTGTCGGTATTCCAAATATCTCCGTTAGTACCGGTTTGTCTTCATTTTGAAGGCTTTTACACCTCAAGTTCCATAGTTGAGAATTTTTAAGTTCTCATCGTTGTTTGTAGACCTTAGAATAATGTAGTTAAACAATTTTAGGGATTAGAAACCACCATGAGCAAGGCAAGTCTATGTTCTGAGAATGACAAGAAGATTTAATGTGGGAAAAAGAACCGTCACAATTCCATCTTGACAATAGCTTTGACATGATAATGGGAATTCAGGGCCTCCTTATTCCGAGGTAACAATTGGAAGTGTATTCATTGCGTGTCTTGTGATGTTTGAAACTGAAAATGATAAATGGTTCAACCCTTTTGGTAAAGAACCAAATGTCATTAAACTAGGGGGAAAGAAATGATCTAGTTTGAATTCTACCCATTTCATTAAATCATATTGGGAGGCCTCATTATGACTAGCGGGACAATATCTTGGGTAAAAAGCATATCTCAAGTTTAGTTATTGATTTTGAGCAGACATCAATTATGCATCATTATTAGTTCTTGGATCAATTGTTTGTGTTCCAATTCTATTTTTCTTTGTTTATTTGCACGAACCCAAGTCCAACTCAAATTCATGTAGTTGATCTTGAGCAGTCAAGCTTTGGACAAGTCAGTTTCGATTAAAATTTGAACTTGGGCAGATCTCTCTGTTTTTTGGGGCTGGACTTGGAACAATTTGTTCCAGATTGCAGCCCTAACTAAAATTTCAGGTTTGCTGAAAAGCAAACACTGGCACAGGGATAGCAACAACAACATTATCAAGTGAAGATGCTCGTACATTTCTTATTCTGGGCCTTTATCATTGCAATTTGCATGCATGAAAGCTCAAAATGAGCCTGGGTGGATAGGCAGAGTCGTCCTAACTCAGAGAGGCATGGTGTCCCATAAATTCTTTCGATTACTTTTATGTACCTGGTTGGTACAACTTTTAATAATCAAAAACAGAAATTAGAATAACTTCTCCCTCTATTTTCTCATAATTATTGTTTTAAACTTATTTAAATTATTTTTATCTCATCTCAGCAAAAAGATGTACTAAATATTTCGGCATAAATTTTTAAAATAAAAAAGAAAAGTTATAAGCGTGTCTGCAAGTTTACACCGAACAAGAATAATCTTTCGTAGTTCAAAATTCCTTTTTTTTTTTTTTCCTTTCTTTTTTTCCCTCTTATATATGGATGAAGAGAGAGAAGAGAAAAGAAGAGAAACAGAAAGAGACAAAAGAAAGGAGGAGAGGAGAGGGAGGGGTAAGAGAGAGCACTCGTCTCTCCTTTGTCGATTGGCTCGATCGCTGCCGCCATCATCAAATCACAATCGTCAATTGTCGCTTCCAACCTCTGATTCTTCTCCACCGCCCGACCACAACTAATCTCGTCGAACGCAGATTTGGTTTATCTTCTCTCTTTCTCCGTCTGTTTCAGGATATAAGAGGGGGGGGTATAAGAGGGGGGGGAAATTGTCCAAAATCTATGTATGATAATAATGTGTTGTTGATGATGATGATGATGCCGGCCGGAAGAAAAAAAAAATTGAGCTTGATTTCAGTTTGGTGATTGTGAAGAGAGGGTGAGGAGAAACAGATGAAAAAAAAAAAAAAAAATCCCAAAACGACGTCATTTTGGATTCGAGTTATTTCAGGCCAAGCGTTTTTCGAGCTGCGTACACCAAACAATCCCTATGACTAAACCAAGAGACCAGCCTAGGCCAGTAGGAAAACCATAAGATTGTGTTTGGATCTCTTATAAGCAGAGCATCCTTATTAAGCTCACTAAACCATCTCCTTAGCTATTTCATAGCCCAGATCAATCAAAAGAGCACTTCATTAAACACGTCAATTGGTTAGTTATTTTGGTAAAACTCAAAACCATTGCTACAAGTCGCTAACACCAAACAACTCCACAAATAATTTTAAATTATAAAATATTTAATAATGTTAAAATTATTACATTTTATGTCTCAATCACTTTTTTTTTTCAATAAATAGAAAAATGTTATTTATTATCAATTTTATTTCACTTCCTAAATGTGTTGATGCAACAAAAATTATATATATATATATATATAAGACTCACCAAATTTAATAATAAATAGTGAAATTTATCAACATAATAGTCTGCGTAGAAGGTAACGATAAACTATTTGGGTGATATATGACACGGTTATAAATTTATTATAAAATATAACTAATGAAACGTATTAAATTAATATATTTATAATGCATGAAATGGTGAACATTGGTAAAAGTTATTACAAAATATTATATTCAAAACAAGAAAAGAAAAGTAAAAAGAAGAAAAGAAAAGAAAAGAGTACTATTCTATCATTATTATAAAATATTGGATAAGGATGCTACAATCCCTCTCTCTTCAATATTAATCTGCAACTAAAATAATAATAATATAAAGCAAGAATAAACAAATAAATAGAGAGCTTGTTAAAGGATTTACTTGAAAATGTGATTGACTAAAATAGAAAAATAAAAATTTAACTAATTTGATGTAAATATTTTTTTCATTTTCTCTTCCACAAATGGCTACTTAAATTTATAATCCAAACAAGGTCATAATATTTTACGAAAACACATGCTTTCACTTCCAAAGTACATATATATTTACAACTAGGGTTGTCAAAATTTGTACAGTGAAAACAGGAAATAGTTCCAAGCACTTGGAGACAAAAAAGTACTTCCCCAAACATCTATGCAAGCTCGATTCCTAGTCTCCTTTTTTGGGGGGATAAATATACTTAGATTTCTAGAGCAAGGATTTTTTAGAATTTTTTTTTGTTAGAGTGGTATATTGTGTGGTTGAGATTTAATGACAAATTAAATCAATTTTTTAACATTAAATCTCAATCAAACAATACACTACTTTAAATTTTTTTTTAAAAAAATACTCTAAAGACCCTTGGTGAGATTCCTAGTCATACCGTCTCTCCATTATGCTTCCCTTCCCTCTACTTCTTACCAGAAACAGCTTCCCTTGTCACAAGCTGTATCCCCCTCACCCACATCTCCGCCGTCTCAAACCCACCCTCGCACACAAAATGCACTTCCTTGTTCTTCGTAGTCACCACCCGAAACACTCCAGCTTCATCCGCATCCCCCTTCCTCTGCCTCAGCCTCTTAAAATTCAAGCTCGGTCCCACCTCAATCTCTCGGCATATCACGTTCCTCCGGCTTGAATTCCCCCACCTCAATACCCCGGTAGCCTCCATCATTTGAAGAACTTTACTATGCGGAGCTCCTTTTCCCCCTTTTGTATGCTTCATCACGATAGCGCCACTCAACACCAGTTTCCGAGCAAGCTCATCGAGTATCACCGGTACTGCATCATGACTGCCATTGTTCCTTGCAAGTGAGACTGCAGTTTCGCCCTTAACATTCTTCAAGTCACATCGTGCTCCTGATTTAATCAAGAGCCGACAAGTGCTTCCATGGCCTTCCCTTGCTGCCAACATGAGTGGCGTGTAGCCATCCCCATCAGGGACATTTACATCATAACCCTTGTGCATCAATAATCTCACTGCGTCTAAGTCTCCACGGCGGGCTGCACAATGTAGGGCGTAAAAACCTCCACCATTGCGGTTACCCTTTTCAAGAGCGAATTCGAGCATTACTTTCTCAAATAGATCGCGATTTTTGTTGAATTCGGATAAGGTAATAGCAGTCTCACCAGATTTGTTGCACAGCTTAACATCAGCCCCAGCATATACAAGCAACCGGAAAGCTTCAACATGACCTTCCATAGCGGTAACCATGACTGCAGAGAAACCCCTATCATCCTGATAATCAAGATCGATTTCTGATCGCCCAATTAGGGCTTCCAAGGCTTGAATATCACCCAATCGAGCTACAAACATTAAAGGTGAAAAAATTGGCACGTTACTTGATTTCGGAACCTTTCCAGCCCTAATTACATCTAGCACGGCTTGTTGAAAACAAAGAGGCCATTGGTTCGACCCTGCGATTGAATACACAGACTGACCTGCTATATTCACCAAACCAAAATCAGCACCAGCTATGGCCAATACTTTGATACATTCATCCCTCTTATGTTTTGCAGAGATCATCAGAGCACTATCACCTGTATCTGTCCTCGAGTTCATATCACAGCCATAGTCAATTAGGCACTGGAGCACAGTTGAGTATCCAAGACGGGCAGCCATGTGTATTGGATGGAACTCAGTTTTCTGGGTTGTTTTAACAGGAGATTCTACATTTGCACCGCAATTCAAAAGCACGTTGACAGCTCCAGCATTGCCGCAGAGAATGGCATGGTGGAGGAGGTTTCTTCCAAGGTGAGCGGCATCGGATGAGACTTGTTGGAGGAGCATGCGCAGGATAGTACCAGTGTGCTCAAAATACTCCACAGCGCACCAGGTGATGGGGTAGGGCTCTGCTAGTCCTGCACCCACTCGAAACTCTTCGCCTGAAACTGTATCCCATGACCATGCCCCCAGTTGAACTTTGATGTCTGTTCTGGCACCAGCCTTGTTTTACCATTATGGGAGAGGAGTGAAGAGAGGTTAGTCATAGGAGGGAAGAAAAAAACATTCTTTTATTTTATATATAAAATAAGAAGGATTTTAAATGTTGTCACTTTCTAAATCTTCTGAACTTTTGTAGAATTAACTGTAAAGCAAGTGCATCCATGTTTTTATATGAGATGATTTTTATACTACGCAATCAAAGTGCAAGGGTAAGGGGGTATTAATTGAAAAAATATCAAATCAAACCGAGTTTTGAAAAAATATTTACATATTAATGAAAAACTTTATACATATTAAAACATTAAAACTATCAACTTTTCCATAAATATTTAATATTAAGTACTTTTTGAAAAGACCACTGACATGTAATATCCCTTTTTTCGTGGCAGACAACGAAAACCTCTCTCTAAAAACCTCTCTCTCTCTAAAAACCTCCTTCCCAGGCCTCACTTTGGGGCCGGCCGGCCGCCGACTTTGGCTATGGAGGTCGGCTGGCCCAGCTCTTTTATTGTGTTTGGCTGTAATAAACTTGATTCCCCCATTATTTTCCCACTGGTGATGTGCGGGCTGCCGTAGATTTGGCTTGGTCTTTGGGGTGTTTTGGTGAACGTTTTGGTTGTTTACTGGGTCGGCAAAGAGGACGATCCAGATCTGATTAGGTTGTTCACTCGGGCGCTTCTTTGCAAGTGGAAGTTTGAGGGGTGTTCTCAGCTCAGATCTATGGAGGTGTACGCCGTCCAGTTGTGTCTGTGGAAGATTTCATTCGAGCACTTCTATGCATATGGGAGTTTGAGGGGTGAATGTCGTCCAGTTGTGCAGTGTGCTTTCGGTGTTTCGGTTGTTTCGACCATAGGTGTCGAGAAGTGGAGATGGCAGTGTTTCGACCATAGGAGTGTATGGGTGTGTTCGGATGCTTTGAGTGCTCGGTCGATTCAGCAGCTTAGGTTGTAGCAGGTTTGCTTGGAGATGTCGTGGCTGGGCTAGGCTGGGTGAAGTCGTGGCTGGGCATTGGGAGTGATTGCAGCAGGTTTGCATAGGTGAGGACGTGGCTGGGCTTTGGGAGTGTAGCAGCATGTGGGTTTTGGCTGGGCATTGGGAGTTTAGCAGCTTGGAGATGTCAGGTAAGGGAGTTTTTCAGCCATGGAGTTGTTGGCTATGGAGCTTTCCGGCCGGTGAATATTCTCGGTAGGTGTAAACAGGTGGAAAGCACAGGTTTGGGCGTGTAGCACAGGTGGGTGCTGGGTGTTGTCGGGCGTGGGTGTGTAGTAAGTAGGCGTTGGGAGTTGAGGCAGCACAGGTAGAAGCTTTAGTTTGAAAAATAGCAAGTGGGCGGGAAAGCTTTGGTGTTTGGTGTTGGGTTTTGATTTGGCTTGGTTTTTTGTGGGCAGATTTTGTGGGGTTTCTTGTATTTTATTTTTTAGTTAAGTCCTTCTTAACTTTTCTTTTTTTGTTTTTTGTATAAAAAAAAAAAAAACCGTGAGGTCGAGGGGTTGGTTGTATAGATGTGAGTAGTAGTAGTAGGGGTAATTTGTACTTTCCGAATCTCTCTCGATGCATGCCATCTTCTTGTACCTTTAATTTCATTTGTTAATGAAATTTTTACTTTGCCGATCAAAAAAAATGTAATATCCCTTTTCAATTTGGGATTCTTTTAATCAATATGATTTATAGTACACATTGTTATTCTATCTAGGGGAACCAATATAAAATTTACTTTACAATTTAACTTTATAAAATTCTTCATAAAGAATCTTGATTCGTACTTGGTCTACCAAGGAGATGGAGATGAGGTAAGTTTCTGTTGAGATTTTTGTGCCGAACATATATAATCATAGCACCATGGAATTGTCATCAAGAGAAAGTCCAGCTGTTTCATAGTTGAAACACCAAGAAGGGGACCCATTTATATGTGATGCCTGCGATATGAGAACAATTACTTGTGTGTAGAATTGGCACAGACCAATTTCACATCACATGACACAAGTGATGTGAGATTAGCTTGAAACAATGCCATTTCTCCCAATAAATAATTTTCCACGATTTGGAGTTATGTGTACCAAAAATAGATGCAAAATGTTTGTCATTGTAAGGCTTTTCATTATTTTTCACCTCTTCTGGTAAAACTGTATAAATAATTAATTTTGCTTCAATTATTATAAGATGAAAAAAAGGTAAATTTACTTTAGGATACATCTAAAATGCACGAGTCATTCTACTGATTATCAAAATCAAGATTAGAACCTTACGTGAAGCAACAGACGGACGACAGAGATCTGCCTAGACACAACGGCAGCAACGAGTGCATTACAATCAACATTTGTGTGTAGAGAAGGCCTATATGATTGAAGCAAGACCCGATCACTTGCATTTGCATCGACTCCACACTGTCAATGGGAAAAGGGCTATTATTTCAAAATGATATTTCAAATTAGCATGATATAAAGCACAAAGATATTCGGCCAATTGACTAGTTCCTGGGTAATCCCCTATTATTGAATATGATGTTTTAGTTTCACATAAATAATTGTCGTGATTGGATAGTGAAAGTATTTTCAGTGTTCATGTTTGTTTTCTATAATGCCTTCAGTATGTAATAGTAAAACTGCTGCTCAATAGCCTATTTAAAATAATGTTTCTCCATATAAAATTCTTGACGTCTACATCTCGGATTTTGGCAAGAGGTTCTGCCTCTATCTACTTCGTAAAATAATCTGTTGCTACCAGCAAGTATTTTCTCTGCCCAGTTGCCTGGGGAAGTTGCCCAACAAGGTCCATGCCCCATTGGGCAAACAGCCAA